AGGAAAAAGAGTACATAGCTCTTCATAATTTCAATTCTTGTATCAATTCATCATTGTTCTGTACATCAATGTCTTCAATAGCCTAAATCAATTCCTCATTATCTTTTACGCCAATGTCTTCATACAAATATATATGGGGCATTTGCAAAAATGTCCAATTTTGCATATGTCAATTCAAAAATGTCTACTTTTGATAATATTTACAAAAATGGCCAAGTTTGATACCAAATTCTATATTTTAGCCTTAATGAAAGAATAAATAATTTCATATTGCACATGTTAATTCACAATAAATGCTAGATACAAAAATGTTGAGAACAACATTTAAAGTGTAGAGAAATGTCATGTTCGAAATGAAATGTCATTCTAGAAAGTTAATATGTCGAGAACAATGTTTGAAATGTCAAGAATATTTAATATTGTGATTTGATGTATGTACTTTTGAAATATAAACGCATTTAAATATCGAAAATGACATTTAAAATGTCGAGAACATCATTTTAATATAGTTTCTCATGGAAGCTACTTAGGTGTACTCTCGTTCAAATAATTGCAAAAATGGACATTGAAAATTTTTGGACATTTTCACAAATGACTATATCAAAATGGACATTTTTTATAATTTCCTCAATGTTTATTAACCTTTAATGACTATAGTTATATGATGATTCGAAAAAGTAGCTCTAGTTGATCTATTTGGGAGTCTAATACATATAAGAATATTATTTTGAAGGTAAATGTCATGTATATTATGGGCATTCATTACACAAAGGATATATCTCGTTAATATCTTATTAGAAAAATCCTAATAAAAGAAAAAGAATAAATTATTCTTTTAAGTCTGTTACAAATTTTCTCTCATTAAAAACATTGATAGAAAAACCCAATGGGATAAAACGTTTGTCAAGAAAAAATGAATATAACGCGCATTAATTCTCACTCATAATAAAATAACTTTAGTTATCTGCTTTAGGTATAAAATCCTTAAAGTTAACCTTAATAGCAATGCAGATGAGTTGGCTATAATCAAATTTATTACAAGCATATCAAATTCATTCGTTGTCAAGCTAACAAGATATCGACTTGTGAATGCATCCACCACATGATAATTTATCTATTTATACAAGTTTTTACAAAATTCATTATGCTAAGAAATGTATATTACATATTACGACTTTATTTTTCTATTTTCATTTCGCATAAGTAGACTGTATACACTTTTAGGTGTTCGGACTGTAGATCCAAAAATTTTATGTTTTTCTAGTAAGTGCAATTTCTTAGGATTGTGTCCATTTATTTTGATCAATTATTTCTCAATCAATATACTTAAAAAAATTATTTCGATATCCTCGTCATTCATAATATGAAATGGTACATCATGTAAAAGTTGTTGTCGATAACCTTTTTTTTTTTCTCTCATTTTACTTCTTTCTCCATAGTAAGACAAATTATTGAAATATCTCAAGTTATATTTCAGGTACCTAAACTTCTTCTGGAATTCTGTAATTAGTTATATATAAATACTCACCAAGAGCACATATCTCCTTAATGAGCCTATCTTTATGAATTCCTCCATTTAAGTTTGGGGATTTTTATATCAGAATCGAATATCATCACACTTCAAGCGGACCGTAAAATTATTAAATATAATATTAATTAATTTTCATCAAGAACCTTAGTTTGAATGGAGTATTTAAAGCTAGTGTGTGAGATGTTATTGATCTCTTTGATCAATAAATATATCTAAGTAAAATATTTTTCAAACTTTAGATTCGAATAGTCTTTTGCGAGAATCTAAATAATATAATGATGCATGAAAAATTAGGTTTTGACCATAAGCTAAATATAAGAGAAAATTTTAATGTTAGTGTAATGCTAATAGCATTCCCTGGACGCAACTGGAAAGCACTTTGACCTTAATAATAATGGTTTATAATTTAATTTGAAGGCACATAATAAATAATAATGTTAAACAATTTATTATCATTTCAATTTAGCATTTATTAACAGGTTGAGATTTAGAGCATTAACAAGATACATCATCTTGATTGTATAATCTTATAATTATGCTCTAAATTTAACTTTTGAGAAATAATTTCACAAACTTTAGGTTTCAAATCACATGCAATTATCTAATACATGTATCAAATCTATTATATATAAATGACATATAAATAGTCAACCTGAAAAATGAAGAGGCCCCATATACCACCCTAATTAACTTTTAGAAATATAGGAAATTCAGTCTCTATTTTAGTTAGTGATGGTTAATGATCAATTCTCAGTAAATAAAACAAATATAATATAAAAATTCATATGATTGAAGAATCTTCTAGTTCTTCATTGAATATTTGAATTCTCAATTTTGTATCATTACTAATCCAGTAATGGTCAACTGATCGTGACAAATAATATTACATTCAATGTTTGTCATTTGAATAAATATTCAATCAAACAAAATGCATTGTTAAATACTTGAAAATATGATTAATTATAATATAATCATATAAAAATCAATGTCCACATAACATGAGTTGTATGCTTTCCTTTAAGGATAAATAATTCATGAATTACATATATGACATATTTTTTGAAACGTGAGCTATTTCGAGAGCATGTTATATTTTGCTATTGTTTCTTCAAGAGCAATATGTAAATATTTTCTAAAATATTGGAAATTATAATGCGTACTTTTCAGGAGCTTGTAATATTCTTCACTATAATGTTTTGCAGTATTTTAGTAGAACGTAATATTTACAGATTTGTGATTCTTCAGGAGCAACTGGACAATATTTTCTGAAATATTGAAATTGTAATATCATATATTCATGAGCCATAACATATAATTATTTAAAATAATAAATTGTATAAGAATTTATTCTTCACAAGTAAAAATAATTATATTAGATCATATTTAATTATGCTCTTTGAGAGCAAGTAAAATCTAACTAAAATACATATAGAGCAAGCATTAAAGGGAAAACTAATTGATATTAATAAAAAAGAAAGAATAGAGAAAGTTACCAGAATGTCAATGTTATTGCACATCAAACACAAACAATTTACAATTACTTATGTTCAAAAAATAAACGTTTACTATTATGAGCTAAAACAGACTTGCACAAAGAATTAAGAATTGATCTTTGGAAAAAACTCTAATCAGTAATCACTCATTATTTATAAATTCATAGTTTTGATAAAATTCACTTATAAGCAGCTTTTAAAATGAGGCTTCAATCAAGGTAGCCAACCTTTCCATATCTCATTTAAGCAAGCAGAAATTAGTATAATGGCAATAAACAAAAAGTGACAAGAAACTAAGCTCCCATTTGGTGTTAATTAAAATCTAAATCAAAGTCAACAATCAAATATAACTACATATTTTATGGATCTCACAACTTTTCAATCACATATTTCATCAACTTTCTCAAAATCTACTAAAAATCTGATTTTAATCCCCATCAAATACGGGCTAAATCTTGTATGATATATCAACAATAACACCTCTTTTCACATAGTAAAAAACTCATAGATTTGGGTGGTGGTTGCTACACCTAAGATATTTTTAGGTCAAGCAAAAGCTAGAATTTTAGGCAATAAAGAAATCCTAAATTTTGTGCATAAATTTTGCTAACTCATTTGGCTTGAAGTTCATATTAATAAAGTATTATAAAAAGAAAGAAAATAAATAAAAATAGAGAGAAGTCAATATACTTATATATGTTATTGATAACCAAGTCCTATATTTATAGGGAAGAATTAAGAATACAATGGTAATAAAAATTAGGACCGTAAGAGTATAATTATCATTTTCTAATAATCATATTATATATAATAACGTGCAAATGAGTGAATTTATAAGATTTTTATTTTTAAATAAATATTCCTTTTTAAAATTGATATCAAAATTAAAGTTAATATTATTTAGAAAATGACATGATGTTTTATGAGTCATTGAAAAATTTTAAAATCGCTAAAAGATTGTGTAACTACTAATAATCATATTATATATAATAACGTGCAAATGAGTGAATTTATAAGATTTTTATTTTTAAATAAATATTCCTTTTTAAAATTGATATCAAAATTAAAGTTAATATTATTTAGAAAATGACATGATGTTTTATGAGTCATTGAAAAATTTTAAAATCGCTAAAAGATTGTGTAACTTTCGAAAGTAGCATCTAATTCTTTATCATTTAATAAATTTAAAAAAAAAAATCTAAACAATAAAATAATGTTGTGTCAAATATTTATGATGTCATTCTGAAAATGATTTTTAAATTGTATGACCATATAGAAAGTATGTCACTATAAATTTCAACTGCTACTTTAGTCTAGATATATCTAAAATAAAATACAAATAAAAAATCTTAGAACTTGATATAAATGTTTACTCAAAATAAAGAGTGAAAAGATATTCTAGAATTAATATTTTATTATATAATACATCATTTTCTAAAGATAAATAAATTCTTTAAAATCAAATGTTACCTTTTTGCGGCTTCCTTGGTAATAGTCTCATTGAACCACGTCAAGTACTCAATATATTAGCATCCTTTCATTCGAGAGTTGCACTAACCAATACATGCATTATCACAACTACAATGCAAAACTGTATGAGTGAATGCTCAATAATTAATGATATGCATGAACATATTAATAATTTGCAGTACATTTATATTTATGATCTCATCCTTGAAGTCTACGCGTTTACTCACTATCTCTAGTAATTTCTCTTTTAATCTTTGGGTTTGAATTCTATTAGGGTGTATCGTATTAGTTCAAACACCAATGTAGTCAATAACATGCGTGTCTTTCAATATCTATGGGTTAGTTGTCACATCAAACAAAAGAGTGTCCAATAGGTGCAAAAGAGTGGGTGGGCTTTCAAATCAAGTGGTGATCAATATCGAGTGACATGATCTATCCAGTGTTACATCGCATCAATTGTCAATTTCTTGTGATGCCATTCAATCTAACCAATAGGATGGTGCATATGAAAACAAAAGACAAATTTTCATTTTAGGTTAAGAAACAAGTCATTTTTTTTTTGTGGATCCACCTATAACCAATGGGATGGTGCAAATGAATGCAGAAGACAATTTTTCTTTTAAGTTAAGAAACAATTCATTTTTTTTTTTGTGGAGCACCTATTTTTTTCAGCAAAACGGTTGTCAAAAACTTGTCACAACAATTGATACAGCAAGGCTACCCTTGAGCATAATGGTACATATAAATCATCTCTCAGTTTCATCATTTTCCGTGTCTCCATCTTCATCGGAAGATTGTTCCTTCTTATGCTCTTCTTCGACAGCATTCAATTTGCACTTCTTCTCTTGCTTCTTCTGTTTCTTTTTCTGCCGTTTCAAACGCTTTTTTGCTGTGCGCTCCTCTGCAGCTTTTAATCTTTCTTCCCTTCTCCGAATGAATTCTGTAATTTCTTTCCTTTTCTGGTAATCAGCATCCATCCTGGCAAGCCGATCTTGTTCTTTCCGTCTCATCTGCCTATACTGTAATCATGACCCAAAAAGGGTTAAATCTTCATGCCAGGGGATAAACATGAGGTGTTAAGCTATAGAGATTTCAATAATCACATTAAAGTCCTAAAAGCTAAAAACTATTTTTGAGCTTATTATATTTGAATTGTTTGTTAACAATATTCTGGTGCATCTAAAATAATCAGACCTTCCAAAACTATGCATGAATATTCCAGCAGAAGAAACAAAACTTAATCTGATAATATAAAATGCTGACGGTCAATTTGCTCTTTTGAAACCTAATATGCAAACCTATAAAGTTGCACATAATATCTAAAGAACAGTTTGTCTAATCTCTGCATCGCGTTCAGCTCAGCTGCAATTTAAATCCAGTGAAGAATTCGAGTTTCAGACATAACAGGGGAAAACTGCCAGACAGAGAGAGCTCTATTTTTAACAAAGCAAATACTGTTGCATGCCATTCTTTGAGAGGAGTGAGCCATGTATGAATTTATAATCTAGGGTTTTTCTTCCTCGATGGAGAAATATATTGTTGGAATTTGTTCCCCATACTTTATTTTGAATATTAATCAATGTTTGCAAAGAAGGATTTTTCAGCTGCATGTGTTTCTGCATTCAGTCAGCAGCACTATGGTTTATGAGATTAGTATTTGTTCAGGCAGAGTAAGAGGATTTATCGCTTCTATTTAAATAATTTCTTGTTTTATATTGGTTTCATACTTGCAACTATTACAGTACATATATATTCATACACATACATAAAAATAATCAAACAAAAGGTGTCATAAATGAAACCTTAGGAGCTTGAGCTTAACCAAAGCTATAGTCGGCAACACACTTGCTGATGCCTTTTCAAATTTCTGTTTGGTTGATGCTACATGTTTCGTCTTCTATTTATTTAAGTTTATTATCAGCTTTTAATTGAAATTGAAAAACTTTGCATTCACTCTTAAGCTTTGCATAATTATTTAAAATATTAATCGTTACAATGCTTTAAATTTATAAATTGCAAGCTTAAATTCCAGTACTTAAAATTTAGATACTTGAAGTGTTCAAATACTATTTTGTTCTCTGTTTTCAATGTTCGAATTTCAGTGTTAATACACCCCTCTACAAGGGACTCTCATCTAATAGCAGGGAAATAATCCTCATCTCAAAAGAGAGAATGTTTCTTACTCTAGACACAAACATAAAATATTACCAAAGACGAGTTTTGTAACGTAGATAAGTGCATTAACGGTTCCTTTGCATTAAAAATGACAAGTGCCATTATTTGCAATTGATTAGGGCATGATTATATTTTCCATCCCTACCTCTCCGCATTGAGCTTTGGTGGGAACTTATTTCACTATAGGCTATAATTACATCCCATAATCTCGCATTTGTGTTTACTCAACAACTATATTCTCTATATCCTTAGTCCTTACATCAAAGCTACTGCAGTCACCTATACAGTTCTAATAGTCAATGATTGCCTTATAAATTTGCCACATTTTCCCCATTCTAATTACATAAATGATCTTAGGAAAAGCTTTTAAATTTTTTTGACAAACAAGCCTCAAATTCTCGCAACTTTCTGTTGAGAAATGCTAAACACATTCAAGCTTTGCAAGAGCGTGGATTAAACCATTTGTGTGAGCATGCAGGCACATTATATTGTGGGTCCCACTACGCTGTACACATTGTCATCACAGATGGTCCAAATTTATGCGTACAGATGCAAGGGAATTTAGCAATCCAACCAATTTCTCTCATCTCTAAATCCACCTGCTAAATTGAATTGCCATGTTAAAAAGGGGAATTGTCCATTGCTTGGTAAATAGGAGTAACGGTTAGTGGCAACATGCTATTCCAAGTATATACCCAAGACTCATTATGGTTGCACTTCACAATTTCATGTCAACATGGATCCATTGTTTCCGAAGGTGTGTGAGGCTTACGCCTTGCAGTCTTTGAGGTGAGGCGTACCCTTGACAACCAGAGGCTTACGCATCTTGGACATTAGATGCATGCCTTTCGAGGCTTTCACCTTAATTTTAATCGGTTTCAGTGGTGGACTTTTAGGTTTTCAAATTCAAGTCCATTTATTTACCACTAGAGATCGGGTATTTTTTAGAAGCCTGTACTTAAAAAAAATTGGGCACGAGTGAAACGAGCATGTTTTGGGATTATTAAAGTTGGCTTCTATATTTGCTTCTGGTTTGGGATTTTATACCATGGCAGCCTCTCTAACACAAGTTGGCCTCATAGACAGATAACTGTCAGGAGAAGGGCTGCAACCTGTTTGGCCTAATCATAAATCCTTTCAACCATATATCTAGTCAAATCAAGTTTGTTTGCCTTGACAGAAATTACGACACCTGCTATTAGGATTGTAATCATTTGACTTTTCTTCATCAAAGTTCTTTCAACTAAAACTATCCCAGATTAGCTCCCAATTGATGGAACAATAATAGCTTTCATCCAGGGGCGGACCTATTAATTGCCCCCATTGGACACTAAATTTTCTTGACATTCAAAAAAGCCCATACAATAGATTAATAGAAGCCCATGATTTTTAACCCAAGCCCAACAATCTTTAAGTTTTTAACATTGAAAATAAGGTCCATAATTCCCAAACCCTATGGGCCAAATTCCAGAACCAGTGCGAGGCAACGAGTGTGCGCGACTGTAACAGAGGATGGACGGTGCGATGCGAATAGATTGAAGAAACAAAATTTGGTAATCAGTTTCTATGTCTTAATCTTATTATTTATGTTTTTGTTAGTTATTTATGTAAATAGCAAGTTTAGATATTGTGGTTGGATTAAAAAAATATATGAAGCCGTCAGCCGTGAATCAGTGACAACAGTGAATGAAATGAATTGATATTTCAATTTTCAGCAATATGAATTGAAAATGTCTTGAATTGTTAATTGTTAAATAACTTAGATTTAATTAATTTCTTCCCGATTTTGCTGTCTGGGAATTTGGACCAGGGACAAAGTCGAAAATGTGTTGAATTTGGATTGTAGTGGTTCAGTTGTTGGACTTGGATTCTCAAATGTTGATTGTTACCCTTTTTACGTATTTTTATTGGAACTTATAAAAAAATTTTACATTAGGATTTAGGTCTCTTAGGTTTTAGTTGCTTATATTTGATATCCAAGTATCAATCTGAGTATTTGTATTTCATTTATATTACTCAAGAAACTCACTTATTTTTTAGATCAAGGTCATTTTAGTTCATCAATTTTAGATTCGGAGTTCATCTCTTAACTTTCCATTTCACCGTTGATATATTTATGCAAGCTTTGTTTGGCTTGTAGGATAGGAAGATATGTTGAGATATTTTAAAAAAGTATCTCAAATATCTACTGAAGAAAATGTTGAGGCAAAGAAACAACGCATTGAGGAAATTTCTATTGAAGAAAATGTTGAGGCAAAGGAAGCCAGTGGTAAGGATACTACTGTTGGAGAAAATGATAAAGCAAAGGAAGCAAGTATTGATGACACTAATTTTCAAGAAAATGATGAGGTAAAGAAAGCAAGTATTGAGCATATTGATGTTGCACAACTTCCCACGGATCCCGGATTAAGAACTCCAATATTGGATTATAATGTTAATCTTCAAGATCAAATAAGAAGAACATACTTGCAGAGAGGTCCGTGTCAACCTCGGAGTTATGTGTTTCCACGTAAAAAATCAAGTCGATTCATTCCTGCTTGGTTCAATGAATATCCTGATTGGTTAGAATATAGTATAAGTAAAAATGCTGCATTTTGCTTATACTGTTATCTTTTCGGACCAAACAATGGGGAACAAGGAGGCGGTGATGCTTTTGTAAAAGAAGGGTTCCATAATTTTAAAAAGAAGGATAGACTTGGAGTTCATGTTGGAGATGTCCATAGTGTACACAATCAAGCCCGAAGAAACTGTGAAGCCTTGATGAATCAAGAGCAACATATTGAGACAATTTTATTCAAGCAGTCAAAAAGAGCACGGAGTGCATATCGAATTTGTTTGAATGCATCAATTGATTGTACACGACTTCTTTTACGTCAAGGACTAGCTTTTCATGGTCTTGATGAGTGTGAAGAGTCAAATAATCAATGTAACTTTTTTGAACAGTTGAAGTTTCTAGCTGATCATAATGAAAGGACTAAAGCTGCACTTTGAAAAATGCTCCAAAAAATCACAAACTAACATCACCAAAAATTCAGAAGGATATTGTAAGTGCTGGAGCTATTGAAATGATTGATGTTATCATCAAAGATATTGATGATACATTCTTTTCAATTTTAGTTGATGAATCTCAAGATATCTCAGTAAAGGAGCAAACATCTGTTGTTTTACGTTATGTTGATAAGACGGGACATGTGGTTGAACGTTTTATTAGAATTGAACATGTTTCCAGTACTACAGCCGTATCACTTAAAGCGGCTATAGATAAATTATTTTCAAGATATGGGTTGAGTATATCCAGATTGCGAGGTCAAGGTTATGATGGGGCGAGTAATATGCAAGGTGAGTTCAAAGGTCTTAAAACACTTATTTTGAAAGAGAATTCAAGTGCTTTTTATGTTCATTGTTTTGCTCATCAACTTCAATTAGCTTTTATAGTTATAGCAAAGAAGCATAAGAAAATCCAAAAACCCTTTAATTTGGTTTCTAGCATGGTGAATATTGTTGGAGTTTCTTCTAAACGTTGTGATATTCTCCGAGAGAAACAAGAAGCCATAATTTCTGAAGCACTCATTAATGGTGAGATTTCAAGTGGGCGAAGTCTTAATCAACAAAGTACTATTGCACGTTTTGGTGATACGCATTGGGGATCACATTATCGTACTTTGGTTAGTTTGATTTTGATGTTCTCACCTATAATTGATGTCATTGAAATGATTTCAATTGATGGATCAACACGTGAACAAAGATGTGATGCTGATAATTTATTGGACTCAATGCAGTCATTTGAGTTTGTGTTTAATTTACACCTCATGAGAACTATCTTAGGAATTTCCAATGAATACAAAGAAAAGATCAGGATATTGTAAATGCCATGAGTTTAGTGACAGTATGCAAACAAAGACTCCAAGAAATGAGGGACAATGAGTGGGATTCTTTTTTGGATGAAGTCGTTTCTTTTTGTCAAAAGCATAATATTGATGTTCCTGATATGGATAGTGTGTTTGTACACCCAGGTCGCTCACGACACAATACTGAAGAAATGACAAATTTTCATCGCTTTCGTGTGGATTTATTTTATTCTGTCATTGATATGCAACTTCAAGAATTGAATGCTCATTTTTCTGAGGTAAGTACAGAGTTACTTCTTTGTTTAGCATGTTTATTCCCCAATGATTCATTCTCTGCTTTTGACAAGGATAAATTAATTCATCTTGCCTATTATCCTAAAGATTTTTCAAAGGTACAACTCATGACACTTGATGATCAGTTTTGAAACTATATTGTTAATATGCGCTCTAACAAGGAGTTCAGAGAATTGAAGGGATTTAGTGAACTTGCATTGAAGTTGGTTGAGACCAAAAGAAATAAAGTGTATCCATTAGTTTACATGCTTGTGATTTTAGGATTAACTCTTCGAGTTGCCACTGCTTTAGTTGAAAGAGTATTTTCAGCTATGAACATTGAGAAGAATCGACTGCGTAATCAAATTGGAGACCAGTGGATGAATGATAGCTTAGTTGTGTATGTGGAAAAAGATGTATTTAACGAAATCGATAACAAGACTATTATACGGCGTTTTCAAAGTATGAGAAGTCGTAAGGAACAATTGTAAAAAAGTACTACGTTTTGATTATTATCGTTATTTCTAACTTGAAATTCTTTTTTACGTAATTTTTTCTCGCCCCCCACTGGATCATAATCCTGGGTCCGCCCCTGTCTAGCACTTAAGGCTTCGTTCCTCCATAAAGACCAAAAGCGAAGAAAAGAAATTTATTTCCCAATTTTTAATCTAGGTTAGCACTAAACCATTTGACCAGCTAGCTTGAGGTTGCGAAAAGGAAGGAAGAAAACGATAGCCCGAAGCCCCTATTCAAATATCTTCAAATTTAGTAAATAATAAGATATTATATTTTGATAGCTTACTGTTTTTATCATATACCTCTTCATTTGGTCTTTTCCTATATATTAAACACTAGGATATTTCAAATGTCCCGTTTTTCTACTGATTAAGCCTTTGTTTGCAATTTTATATATGGTTTATAAAGTAAAATAATAGTGAATTCAATGAAATATGTGGTTATAGAGCAATAATTATGAATGTGTAATTAATATATGTTTGATTTGAACAGAAATTTATAAACTGTTTATAAATATGTATCCAAATTGAGGCTAATTTTCTTTTCTAGCATAATTAATTATAAATGGCGAAAATAAAAAAATAGAATTCCAAGGGTGACTAGATAGGGATGTCAAGCCCTTTAACCTATGAGCTCGGCTCGCGCTCGTGAAAGACGAGCCCGTGAGCTCACAAGCCACGAGCTCGTGATTTTTCAAATTTTTTTTTGGTAAATTTGCATATTTTTTGACGAGCTCGGCTCGTGGGTTCTTAAAAAATGGCTCATGGGCTCGTCATTTAACGAGCCCGAGCCAGCCACAAGTCGAGTTTTAACGAGCTGAGTGGTCGAGCCGACGAGCTGCTCGACCCGTTTGACATCCCTATGACTAGATGAATGTTTGACCCCCTTTAAAACTCATCAATTTAATTTAAAAAAATTTCTCTCTTATTTTTAACCCACAATCTTCAAAAAAAAAATATTTCTCACAACTCCAAATTTTTTTATTCTTTTATAATCATTCATTTTAAAAAAAAAAAAATGTTATTCTCCCTATTATAATCCAAATAAGGGGGGCCAAACAGGGGCGAACTAGAAAAATAGTACTTCAATCCCCTTGCCCATACCCTTGTGATCCATGTGACCCTGGCTATGTAGCATAACTTTACATTTCTTTAAGAAAATATTTGAAATAACGAAAGAATTCTGTTGCTCGTACAGGCCACACATTATAGAATGGGTGGGGTAATTTTTTTTAAAATAATCACCCACGCCACCCCCTTACCTAGCATGTGAGGGGGCTTGTACATCAGGCATTTTCTATAACGAAATAAATTTGAAGAGGGAAACAGATACCATATAAGGGGGCGTTCCCTTTGCCATTTTTCATCCGTTTTCTGTTTTTAGTTTTCAAAAATGCCCAAAATGCGTTTTGGTGCGTCATTTCCAAAAATGTATTTTCAAAAACAAGGAAAAACTTATAACTGAAAATGAAAAACGATTTTTCTGTTTCATTTTGGGTGTTTTTAGTTGAAAGTGCTCAAAATGCCCAAAACAAAACACGCTACAGTAAAAATTCTAATTAAAACAACAGAAACTTGGCCCTTTTCTCACGATTCTTCTCTCCTCTCTCACTTCACTTGACGCCTTCTCCAATCAACCCGCACGAGTCGTCTGACACCATTCCGACGAGGTCCTACAATCTGGCGAGCAAGTACGCAATATTCCTTAAAACTTGCTAGGAAACCCATTTCCTTTTTTTTTTGGTATTTTAGGGCATCTTGTTCTTGATTTTGCTGGTTTTTATTGCTATTTCTTTTTTGAGATTCGTGTGTGAAAAATTACTGAGTTCGTCCTTTGGAAGCAAATAGCAATTTGGTGGTGTTAATTGCTGGTTTGTCTGGAAAGTGTAGGAGAATTGAGTCGGGGTTACCTGTTTTCGATAAAATGGGGGAAAAGAATTTGTTCACATGTTGGTGGGAGAATTGAGTCGGGGAGCTCTTCTTACTGGTGGTAGAGCTTATGGAAGTGGTTATTCAGCCGGAGAAGGGGCTTGTGAGTGTTTAATCATAGTTGAAAGGTGGGGTGTTGATGCTGATCGATTGGGAAACAATGAGGGAAAAGAAAAAAACATTTTGAATTCATGATAATATATTTCCATTAAAGTTAGTTTGGGGAAATTAAGTTCAATGTTTGTGGAAATGGATTACATTTTGAAACTGCCCAAAATGGATTATACCTATTAAATTAAGATTATCACCGTCAATTGGATGTTTGGGTGAAGAAAAGGAGGACCTCGTGCATTTCTGGCTTTCCTTTTTGTTTTTGGCTATGTTAATATTGCTTTGCAAAACAGAGGGGAAAAAATAAAAATAAAAATCTATCTTTTCCTGTTTCTTGCTCTGCATAGCATTGGTGGAGTACACTATGACATAGTGTGTGTGTGTATATATATTTCATCATTTCTTTGTGTAATCTTGAGGACTTTAAAAAATTAAGACATTGGTTCTTGGATTTTAAGGGAGGGATTTTGGTGTCAAAGGTACAAATTTGTTCTATTTCAAGAAATCCTTTTTATTTTTTATTTTTTGGGAAGTTTGAATTGTACTGTGTTTTAAGATCTATTTATGTTAGAACTTACAATTTTGTGTATGTTTGATTGTTAGATCTTCTTTATTATCTAATAATAATATGAAAAAATCAGGAAAAAAAAAGGAATTGACAGTTTTAGGTGTTTGATAATTATATAGCATGGAAGTCCATTTTCCATTTTAAATAATTGACTTGTTGCAACAATTAATGAGTTTTGAGCATTTTGAATGGATCCTGGACTTCTGGGAAGAAAACAAATGAGAATACCATCATACCTGGGATAGTCACTTATCGTGTTTGGTTTTGAAGTAAATGGTTGCAGCGACTAGGGAAAGAGACAATTTTGAGTCAGTTTTCTTTCCTTGTGATGTCAACTTATTTGATTTCCTATATGGAATTTGTGGCTATATTTTGGTTAAGTGGTTAAATATTTATTCATTATCTTCATTAGAGAACATGGGTGGTCATAGAGGTAAGAATATGGAAACAATGTCATGGTCCGATCAGAACGAACACGTTTTTATCATAATACTTTAAGATAATGTGAAAGCAGGGAAGTTGCAATGTTCAACGTTCACAAAAGACGATTGGGGCAAGATCAATCAAGAGATGATTGTTGCCACAAAATCTGACTACGGGATAGAGAGATTGAAGGGCAAGTGAAATCGTTTGCGTAAAGTGCATCGCTTGTTCTCTGACCTTTTAGGGCGTATGGTTGTTACATGGGATCCAAATACCAACCAAGTGAATGTTACAGCAGAAGTTTGACAACATTTTTTTACGGTACGTGTTGTAAAAGAAAGTTTTTAGCATTACTTATTTATGATATCATTTTTTGTTTAACATTTTGCTTCACTATTAATGTAGGGTTTTGTTTTGTTTTTTCTGTTTTTATTGTAGATAAACAAGAGCGACTATAAGACATTTAGGAGGGAAGGATCTAAGCATTACGAATTGCTTGGAGAGAATTTTAGTGGGACTACAGCTACTGGAAGTCTAGGCCATGCTTCTACTCAGCTTCCTCCAACTTCAGAGGAAGAAAGACGGCTAGAAGATGAGTTTTTGAGCAGGGGAGTGCATGTACATGTTGGAGAATGATGACGATGAAGTTTCAAATATTCGTCAACGTGATGATACTACACCTAACAAACGTCGACATAAGGAATCCAAAATCAATAAAGGAGAAAAACTTGAGGAATATATGTCTCAATGGTCATCTACTGTTAGTATGAGGAATGAGGCAACACAACTAAGGGTGCTATACCTTAAAGAAAAGTTTGCACGCATCTAAGAAAAATAATCTAATCACGAGGGCTCTAGTGAAGTCACTAGTCCAGATCCTTATTCAAATATGACGTGTTTGAACATCTTAAACAACATGGAAGGAGCGTCCAACGAGGTTTATATGAAAGCAATAAAGGCTTTTAAGGATCCAGATTTCAGAATGACATTTATAATGATGCCAGAAATTAGGAGAGGACCTATCTTGGAACTTCTTTGATTTGCCTAATTGGTCGGATTGAGTATTTTGAACTTATAACGTAGGATTGTGTTCTTTTTATATATTGACTATGAACTTTGTAATTCTCAACATTTACTACTAGTTTTATTTTAATCAATGTAGATTTTGGTATTTATATTTGTTGGAGTATTTTTATAAATGATTATGGTAAGTACATAGATGATATGAGTGACAATGATTTATTATATACGAATGATTTCGATGCGATTGGTGGAGATATACAATGATTTTTTTTTTACCAACTTTAAAATTTATATTTTTTTAATCATATATTAGCTTAAAATTGATATGTTTTACTAAAAAATAAATTAATTGAAAAAAAATTTATTAATTGATAAATTTGACAATGATTCCTATTTTTTCTCTATAAATTCATTATTTATTATTTTGTTTTTGTTGCAAGAAAAAATAGTAAATTCATCAAGTTTAAAATATATATTATTTGGTAATATATTAGTCTAAAATTATTTTGTTTTACTAAATAATCAAATTAATTGAATAAATGTCATAAAACAATTTCTAAAAATTTTAAACCAAACGCATTTTCTAGTTTTCTATTTTGAGAAATCGTTTTTCAAGATGACAAACCAAACACGTTTTCTATAATTTGAAAATAGTTCTTCAAAATGGAAAACGCTTTCTTTTTTCAAAAATGAAAACGGAAAATAAAAACGCAAACCAATTGCACCCTAAGGCCGTGGTTGGTTTGTCGTTTTCGGCTCATTTTCCCTTTTTCGTTTTTGAAAATGCAAAAAACGCATTTGGTCCGTCGTTTTCGAAAACGCATTTTCGAAAACGAGTTAAAATTTATTACTGAAAACGCAAAACGACTTTTTATTGTTTTCAGCGTTTTCAGTTATAAATGTCGAAAACGCTTAAAATGCGGAAAGCGAGCCATTTTTCGAAAAAACTAAAAATCGTTTTGAAAATAAAAATGGAAAATAAAAATACAAACCAACCACCACTTAAGTTTCCATAAAAGGTCTCAAAAGTAATTTCAAATTCAACTTCTCAAATTCGAACCTTTGTTCTCATTGGTCGTATTCCAATTGACGCGGATCAAGCTTAAAAGATCCTCACCGTTGATTACATATGAATCCAACGGTTAATAACGCCGCATTTCCAAAAACCAGATTCCATCACTACCACTATAAAGTCACAACCCCGATTTCTATGGCAGACGTCTGAATCAATTACCAGTTTTACCCACGTATATATACACAAAATTTCTTTTCTCCAGGGCTAGTATTGTCAGTTAATGGAATCCGGGAAAATCAAGAAGGGTGCTGGAGGGAGGAAGGGCGGAGGCCCAAAGAAGAAGCCGGTAACTCGGTCCGTCAGAGCCGGTTTGCAATTCCCAGTCGGAAGAATTGGTCGGTACTTGAAGAAGGGCCGGTATGCTCAGCGGGTCGGTACCGGAGCTCCGGTTTACTTGGCTGCCGTCCTTGAATATCTCGCTGCCGAGGTAATTATCCCTCTATTGCAGATCTGTATTAATGTATCTGGGCATAATTTATCGACTCGATTTTTGTTTAAAATTTCAAAATTTGTCTGTTGATTTATAAAATTTCATTATTTCTTGCCAATCAATGCAAATCAATTTATGATTACTGATCTCGATTTATTTAACCAACATATTTTATTTGATATTGAAGGTCTTCAGTTAAAGCTAATTAACTTTATTTATGTATGGAATCTTGATTGGAATGATTATTTTTAAAAAAACTGAATTAGAATTTAGATCTGAAATGAATGCATAAATAGTGTGTTTATATAATACCCAGATTTTAAAGAACCTATATAATCTAATCTACCAAATGTACGAATAGTGATTCATTTTGTTTTGGTGTTTGATTGAAGGTGTTGGAGTTGGCTGGCAATGCAGCCAGGGACAACAAGAAGAACAGGATTATCCCAAGGCACGTATTACTGGCAGTGAGGAACGATGAGGAGCTTGGGAAATTGTTGCAAGGAGTCACCATTGCTCACGGTGGCGTGCTTCCGAACATTAATCCAGTGCTGCTGCCAAAGAAAACTGGTGGAGACAAGGCAACTAAGGAACCAAAATCCCCTTCAAAGGCTACCAAATCTCCTAAGAAAGCTGCTGCTTAGCACAATTAACATGTATCTTACTCTTATCTGACTCTTCCTTTTGTATGAAAATTGTGGGCTTAGAATGTGTTCTTTTGATGGTTATTAGGTGTATTGGTAGGGTAAAAAGGAAGATTGTATGCTGATGGTTGTGTTGTTTTGGGATCTTCTTTAATTATGTTAATGAAAGAAACTTCTGGTTTCCAGTATCGCTTTGTAGTGGATTTACTGTTCCTTATTTTTTTTCATGGTGGATTCATATTTTGGTGATTAAAATGGATGGAACTTCTTTGCTTTTTTCTGAAAAAAAATGGAGGTTTGGGAATTCAATTGCAGCAATTAAATTGTTTTTGAGCTCAATCTGTGTTTAGGGTTGCAATTTGAAGTTGTTTTTATGGGAGTATGCTTGGTGGGATTGTATAGTAGAAAATTCATGGCTTCTAAGAACATTTTCAATAAAACAAATTTATGATTTTGATCTTCAAAATGGTTGGGGACCTCCTCTCCAATGATGTATGTAAAGGAAACCTAAATTGCATTTTTTTGGTAGAAAGTGCACAAGAATATGTAAATTTACATTTTTTTTACCAGTAAAAAGTGAATTTAAATATTTTCATTGGAGTAAAATTTGAATTTAGGGTCTGTTTGATTATAAAGATGGAATTAAATTGAAAACGAATTTTAGGGAATTGTATTGTTTAGAAATTGTTTTTCTGAGAATTGTAAATTATTGTGTTTGATTGGTATAATTTTTCATGCGAAAAATATTGAAATAAAATTGTTTTTTAATGTTCGTTAGGCATTGTTTTACACATAGTTATAAAACCTGGACCAGATCGGTCGGTTCAACCCGAGAACCGTCGAATTGGACCCAGGTCCGGTCCGAGTCAGACAAATTCAAAGGTGGACAAACCACCCGTTGGAAACTTGTCAAATTGGCGGGTTTTTAGCCCAACCGTCGACCCATGTGCAATTGAACCAACCGGGTTTTTTCTTTTGCTTTAAAACCTGTGTTTTCCAATTTCCCAATTCAAATTACCAGGTAAGTCTTCTTTGTCATTCCAAACTCCGACTCGGTTGCTGCCGTTAGCTATTCAATTACTCCCAAAAAATCCAAATCTCCAATTTAAAGTCTTAAGAGATGGAAGAAGAACAGGTTAGTATGAAGCCAATAGAAATAGATTTTGATTGATTAGTTAAAAATATTCTTGTGGTGGATTTCAAAATTTTTAGAACAATATATAGTTGTTTTTGTGCAATTTCAAATTCTTACAAAGCATAGTAGATGGGGAAAAATATTCCTGTGGTGAATCATGTATTTAGAACAAGATATAGTTGGTTTTCAGAATTGCAGGGGATTGCGTCTTCGGATTCTTCCCTTTTAGGATTGGAATTAAATTTACATAACAATTTTTTATATTTTATATTCCCTTGAGTTGGTGTTTACTTGAATTGGACAGATTTTATCATCTTATTAATTTACATTCATTGTCCATTCCATGTATTTCTCGAACCACGAAATTTGTTGAAGATAGATTTAAGATCAATCTTTTAGTTTCTATCAATTTTGATTTGGGAAAGGCTTTAAATCTATTTAGTTTGAGCTGTTTATTATTTGATTGGTGATTTTGTAGAACCATTTTCTGCTTTGCTGCTGATTTTGCTAAAATATTGGTAGTCTCAAGAGCACTCGTTAGAGACGAAAATAGTTATTACCAGCACCTATTAGAGACTGAAATATTGCTGATCTTTGTTGTCAAGATGATTAGAGTCGGTTCCTTGGACACTGTCAAAGAATTTCTTCTTCTTTTTAGCCTATTCAGTTTGTTGACCACCTCCATTCTTTTTTGAGATATCTCTTTGTATATGCTAGTGCCTATCCTTTAAATATTTCAGTCACTTTGCAGATATGGTTAAACTATAAAGCTTACAGGAGAAACATTAGATCTTTGAATTTTTTTCTCAATTCATATTAATAAAGTAGCTAGAAACATGCAAAACTCCAAATTTCTGTCCAAATAAAGTAGCTAAATGATGACAATGGAAATGATACAAACAATGAAAACGAGAATTTTAGTATGATTGAGACTATGTCATTGGTACAAGGCGAAAGAATTGAAGAATTTATGTCTTAGACTTCAGTGTGGATGCACTCTAACTCTTCTTAATTGAGAAAATATTAACTTCAAATAATTTACTTTGTTATCATGTTCTTTAGTCACGATTAACTTTTAGTTCATTGTTTTATATTTGCAAGAATACTCTTAAAGTATATGAAGCAACCTTGTTGAGCCTTGTCATATGAAGTAGTTTTATTTTTTTTAATTATCTGTTGTTGTTTTTATTGTTTCAAGTCCATATTTGACTATATATGGTCCAAAATTTGTGAAATTGGGATACAAATTGATATTTAGTTAACAATATAATATTAGGTTAATTAGTTATTTGTGGAAAATAGGGAAAAAAAAATTATTCAATGAAAATACATAATAATATTTTTTTTGTAGGAATTGACTTGTCGGTTGAACCACCGAGTTATCGGTTGAACTACTGACCTGTTGATCCACTGCATTGTTCGGGTCGATGTCCGGGTCGAGCCTGACAATTATGGTTTTACATGAAAATTTTCGATTAAAGGAATATAATTTGTTGGTATTGAGAATGAAATTTGTTTCAATTATCAACAAAAAAAAAAATAAAAAATAAAAAAATCAAGAAAATTATCTATCTTTTGGTGTTTGTTTGACTTTGTTTTACATGGAAATTGTTAGTTAAAGGGAAATATTTTTTTATAATAATTTCTAGAATTTGTTTCTATTGTCAATACAAAAAATGAAAAAAAAAAATGCTACAATAACTCGAAAAACGAATTCTCACCAATATGGTGAGAATTCGAATTCAAGAAAAGTTAGAAAATGTTGACGTGACAGTGAAAGGTGGAAAACGAATTTTTTGAAAAATTTTGTCAGTCAAACAAATCAAAAGTGAAAGTTGGAATTTGTTTTCCATTTTCCCTAGAAAATAAGTGGCTATTAAACATAGCCTTAGATTCGTTGGGATGTAAAGATATTAAGTCCTTGTTATAGCCCCATTTTAAGGGGAAAAATGAATTTTTGAATAGTTTATTGATAGGAAATATGTGGTTAAAAAATAAGGAAAAATTTTGGATTTGCGTATAATATTATTTTATTGAAGAATATTTGATTGAAATGATGTCAAATTACTGTAGAAAAATTCATTCTTCCAAAGAATGGGGATCAAACAGCTCTAAGTCTCTGTTTGGCCTTTATTTTTTCAAATGAAAATGGGTGAAGTAGTATTTTTTTTGAAAAATAAGTGATTGAAAAAGAAGGAAAAATTTTCGATTTATGTGTAATATTATTTTAACTCCCATTTGGCCCTCATTGATTTTTATTCTATTACATTTTATTTTTTTTCATTTTCAACCATACAATTTTTTATAAAATAATATTATATGTAAATCGATTTTTTTTTTCTTTTCAATCGCTCATTTTTTAAAAAATTATTATTTCACTCATTTTCATTTTCAGAAAATGGAGGTCAAACTACAGCTAATTTGTATCCAATGTTACATCATTGGAGATGCTGTAAACCCATTTTTGAATGTGGGGCATTACTTTTAAGCCTTTTGAAGGTTGCTTTACGTGCAAAATTAAGAGCACTCTAGAATTCAACCTTTTCTTGGGATAACTCTTTTAAGAGTTACTTTATTCTTTTTGGATGTTTGATAATGTCTCTCTTTACACTCTTGCTTCAGAAGCATTCATCCAGTGCTCCTATTTGGGTTCCATTTTTGTAAAAGTATGCATTTTTTTTCTTATTTTTAATTACACAAATTTCAATAAAATAATATTATATTTAAATTCAAAACTTTTTATTTTTTTTAATTTTTAAATTACACATTTTTCAAAAAATCATCATTCCAAAATATAATTTTCAAAAAATTTAATTTTAATGAAGTCCAAACAAGATCAATAAGCATTTCTCCCTTGTTTGACAATCATTATTTGATTCTACATATTTATTTTTAATTATACATTTATATAATAAAATACTTTCTATGTAAGTCTTAAAATTTTCTTTATTTTTTAATCATACATTTTCCTAAAATTTATTATTTAAATAATTAATTTTCTCAAATATGAAATTGAGAGTTAGGGTTTAGAAGAATGCAAACCATAGTGGTGATCTTACAATATGACCGACAGAGCGTTTAGCCTTAGAGATCATAGACCTTAGGAAATATAAAGACATCAAAGTTTCTTTATAGATCGTGTTACCAGTATCAAGATCCACACCAAGAACCACAAGATCTGGAAATATAGACCTAGTTTTACAAATTTCAGATTGAACCAAGTTTATTTCCTCGACACACAAGCATAATCTAAACCAATCAAGATCTCTTCAATCGTAGGTTTAATCAATTGTACCCGTTTGTATCATCACAGAGGCATCGAATAACCCAGACCCTCATTCATAGACGTGAATGGGGTCACTTCTATGGACCATACTCACCACATCAATTGTCTTATACTCACAAAACGAATCACTCTAACTCTTTCTTATTATGAAATTTTACAATTCATCCAACCATATGTAAAATTCTAGAAGACGGATACATACATAGAAAAATGAGAATAAATCTAGGGGTTCAGCCAAGTGTTTTATTTATACTCAAAACACCAACAATTGATTTGAGATGAATTCAACGGTCCAAAGTAACTGACTCTCTCCATTCAAGTAGCAAACACAATCACACTTCAAGAATTGGAGTAATTTGTTTGGTATTGGGCCATCTCAATGATGTCATTTGAAAATTGTTTAATCTGATCGGGCCCAAGGCTATTTCGTCATTGCCTAATGTTGGATTGGATCTAGCATCACAGCCTGACATTGTTTAATTTGAAATGATTCCTATTTCGTACATGACTTTAAACGTTTAGTCCGATGTAGATAAGATACTTATTTTTGAGTGGTCAAAGAGAGGATTAGCACATAGTATAATAATCTTAAAGTCCGTGTGGATATATCTCTATGCTTTGTGTGATCAGAAATTTAGAATATTTCAAATTTTCACATGTTTTTGCTTATTCACATCCTTCGTAAAGATACCGTAAGATCAAATGTAAAAACTAATTTAATTCTACTCTAAAGAGAATATTAATATTTTAAGAATATCGATCATTAAAT